AAAAAAAAAAAAAAAAAAGGACATGAAACAATAACAATCCTTGAAGAAAGTGTGGGAAAAACACTTGCAGATATCGGCCTGGAGAAAGGTTTTTTTTTTTTTTTTTTTTGAGTCAGAGTCTCACTATGTCACCCTCCATAGAGAGCTGTGGTGTCACAGCTCACAGTAACCTCAAACTCTTGGCTCTAACGATTCTCTTGCCTCAGCCTCCCTAGTAGCTGGGACTACAGGTGCCTGCCACAACACCCAGCTATTTTTTGGTTGTAGTTGTCATTGTTGTTTGGCAGGCCTGGGCTGGATTCAAATCCGCCAGCTTCAGTGTACGTGGCTGGTACACTAGCCTTTGAACTATAAGTGCTGAGCCTTGAAAGATTTTATGAAAAAGACTTCCATGGCAATTGCTACAACAGCAAAAATAAATAACTGGGACTTAATTAAACTGAAAAGCTTCTGTACAGCTAAGGAGACAACAGCCAAAGCAAATGGACAACCTTTGCAATAGGAAAAGATATCTGCATATTACGAATTGGATAAAGGCTTGATAACTAAGATCTACAGAGAACTCAAATTAATAAACCAAAAAAGAGCTAACAATCCCATGTATCACTGGGCAAGTGACATGAATAGAGCCTTCTTTAAAGAAGACAGATGAATGGCTAAGAAACATATGAGAAAATGCTCATCATCCCTAATCATCAGAGAAATGCAAATCAAAAACCACCCTGAGATATCACCTAACCCCAGTAAGATAGCCCATATCACAAAGCCCCAAAGCTACAGATGCTGGCATGGATGTGGGAAGAGGGTAACTTTTACACCATTGGTGGGACTGCAAACAAATATAGCCTCTTTAGAAAGAAGTATGGAGAATCCTCAAAGACCTCAAATTACATCTCCCATTTGACCCCATAATCCCAGTAGCATGCATCTACCCAGAAGAAAAAAGATCATTTTATCATAAGGATATTTGCACTAGATAGTTTATCTCAGCTCAATTTACATTTGCCAAAATGTGGAAACAACGTAAATGCCTATTGACTCAGGAATGGATTAACAAATTGTGGTAGATGAACACTATGGAATACTATTCAGCCATAGAAAGATGGTGACTTTACATCTTTTGTAATATCCTGGATGGAGCTGAAACATATTCTTCTTAGTAAAGTTTCACAAAGGGCTGGGTGTGGTGGCTCACACCTGTAATCCTAGCATTCTGGGAGGCCAAGGCAGGTGGATTGCCTGAGCTCACAGGTTCAAGACGAGCCTGAGCAAGAGCAAGACCTCATCTCCAAAAATAGCCAGGCATTGGGGCAGGCGCCTGTAGTCCCAGCTACTTTGGAGGGTGAGGCAGGAGGATCACTTAAGCCCAAGAATTTGAGGTTGCTGTGAGCTGTGACGCCACGGCATTCTACTAAGGGCAACACTGTGAAACTCTGACTCAAAAAAAAAAAAAGTTTTTCCCTCATCAATATTGCTTAAAGTTGCAATTTTTAAGAGGCTATGAACATTAAATGAGGACTAACCAAAATGCTGACATTTGTAACTGGGTATTGGGATTATGAGTGTTTCCTATTTACTCTCCTTTACTGAGATTACAGATGTGAATCACTAATCCAGCCTCCAAGTATCTATCAGAGTATAGTTTATATGCTTTCTATACTTTCACTGAGAACTGGGTGTGGTAGGGCAGGAAGATCACTTGAGGCCAGGAACTCAAGGCTGCAATGAGCTATAATCATACCACTGCACTCCAGCCCAGGTGATAGAGCAGGACTTTGTCTCTAAAATATATAAATAAATATTTGGGTACAGCCACTCCTGTAGTCCTAGCGCTCTGGGAGGCTGAGGCAGGTGAATTGAGCAAGCTCAGGAGTTCGAGACCAGCCTGAACAAGATGAGACCCTATCTCTAAAAAGAGCTGGGCGTTGTGGCAGTTATTCACACTCTACCGAGGGCAACACAGTGAGACTTCCCCTCAAATAAATGAATAAATAAATTTTTAAACAATTAATTACAAGTAATAAATAAGTAAAAATTTAACTATTAGGCTCGGCGCCTCTAGCTCAAGTGGCTAAGGCGCCAGCCACATACACCAGAGCTGGCAGGTTCGAATCTGACCTGGGCGTGCTAATCAACAATGACAATTATGACCAAAAAATAGCCAGGTGTTGTGGCAGGTGCCTGTAGTCCCAGATACTTAGGAGGCTGAGGCAGGAGAATTGCTGAAGCCCAAGAGTTGGAGGCTGCTGTGAGCTATGATGCCACAGCACTCTCCCCAGGGCGACAGCTTGAGACTCAGTCTCAAAAAAAAAAAAATTAACTATTAATGAGGTATGTAGCTATAGCTTTCAAAAGAAAAAGAAAAAGCAAAGAATGGCAAAGTAGGATACATTGTTTTTCTCAAAGAGCAAGAGTCATACATGATTCCAGCATTTTCAAATAAATAGGTCATAGTGATATTGATAACTTACACAAGGCTTCTCAACCCCACCAGGCTTCGCAGCCCTGTGTTGGCACAACTGAGACAAGCAGGATCCTCCAGACCACCTACAACAAAAAGAAAGAAATCAGTAAACAAGTATCAAACCATGCAAAATCAAACAAACAAACAAATAATCACCAAGTACCAAACCAGGTAACAAGCCAGAAAGAATCTGAATTGCTTTTGTAGAAACCTCTACATGTAAGTTTCTGGAAGCCAGTTCTAAGTGTTGAAAGGTTTCAGAGCCTTGCTAAATGAAGGGCCTGCCCCACAGGAAAATAGCACCTTGGGTAGTCTTGGGGAAAGAAGGCAACCTAAAGCAGCTCCTGGCTCTACGCACCCCAAGTAGGAAGCTAAGAAAGCCAGCCCCAGTGAGGGAACACTGGGCTCTGTGGATTCCTGCAAGAGGGACCACTTCCCACGTGCTTCAGTGGGCTCTGGTGGCAGCAGTCAGGGTACACACAATGCCCTGTGCACAGACAGCCTTCCAGAGCAAGGGCAGCAAGAATTATCAGAAAAAAATGCCAAAAATAACCCATTTCTTAGACAAACAACAGTGTACAGCACATTTTTTATAATGCTTCCCTAACTCACTCTAGTTCTCCTAGCATAGCTCACCACCCTCGGTGTATGTGGCCAATGTGCTATGGATGCCGAGCCAAAAAATACTAATAATAAAATAAAATAAAAAGTAGAGAAATGAACAGGTATCATGGTGCACAGCAGTAGTCCCAGCTACTCAGGAGGCTGAGACAGGAGGATCACTTAAACCCAGGAGCCTGAGATTGCAGTGAACGAGGATGAAAAAGAAAACTCTAATAGAAAAACATCCTACAATACATCTGAGCAGCATTCCTCAAAATTGTCAAGGTTGGCTCGGAGCCTATAGCTCAAGCAGCTAAGGCGCCAGCCATATACACCAGAGCTGGTGGGTTCGAATCTAGCCCAGGCCTGCC